TCTGGAGAGAAGTGCCCTGTAGACTGGAGAATGGCGCCCTGTAGACTTTGTAGAGAAGTGCCCTGTAGACTCTGGAGAGCTACGCCCTTTAGACCCTGGAGAGCAGTGCTCGTAAGACTCTGGAGAGCAGTGCCTTATAGATACTGGAGAGCGGTATAGCAGAGTCTGAGCATGGAGAGGATCCACCAGAGCAGACAACTGGGCTTGGTTCTGCCATTGGCCCCTCCCAAGGTGACGTGACCCAGAAGCCGAGGTGGACCAAGTCTCAGTGTAGGACTCTGGATCTTCCACTACTAGCCACTTGGGGAACTCAAGACTATTGCCTCGCTGGGCTGCTCGGAGAACTCGGGGTGCACAGAACGGAGGAGGGTGGCGAGACGCTGGAGAGAAGCACCGGCTTAAAAGCCAGGCGAGTTCCCCAAAACCGACTTCCTTCTCTTCCACCACCGAGAGAGGTAACTGGAGGATTTCAACCTCTTGGCTGCGACGGCGTCTTTTTGCTACAAGTATGGATTCTCTTGTGTCAAACCCGCTCCACCGGATGGACAACTGCGCACACCGTGCCTCCTCTCTCTCTTTTGATGTTCACTTTCCCGTTGGGCAGTCTTATCTGCCTCTTGAGCGAAAAACTCAAAAAGAGTCATTCGACTGCAGGATTCAGCAGTTCTGTCCGTGCGTTGCAGGATTAGAACTCCGGTGCAGACAGACTCGGTGTTCTGAGGTAAAACTAAAAATACGTATTTAGATAAACCAAACCAAAGCTGACGTGGCAGCAAAATACTCAGAAGACACAAGGAAACCGGAACATGAACGGCAGTGGAAAGCACAATGCACAGACGAGAAGGAAACACAACGACAAGAAGAGAAACTAATGGTAAATGCACTGCACTTATCAGCGCTTCTCTATCTTGTCAAGATACTTGAAGCGCTTTACAATACCCATTCATACAGCACTCTACTGTATCTGTACAAAGAATAATCAGTACTTTATCACATTCATACACCGATGGGACACGCATCAGAGGCAATGAGGGGTTCTGTGTCTTGCCCAGGGACACTTCAGCATGTAACTTCCGATGGAATCGAACCCCCAACTCTTGCATTGGAGGACGACTGCTCTTAACTACTCAGCCACAGCCGCACTAATGACAGATGAGCACCTGGGGAAAAGGAGGAGGAGCTGACTAATGGGGTAAAAACACTAGAAGCTGAAAATACAAATACAGACTCAGAGAAACTAAACACAATCACACAAAGAACAAAAACAAGGATCCTGACCCTAATCACTATTCAGATTTATGAAAAGTTGGCACGTTTTTAGCGTTCAAGACATTTATACATCAAAACGTTCTGCTCCTTCAGCTGATGGTGACTTTGTAACTTTTATCATTTTCAAAATATTTAACGTTACGAATATTTTGCATACAAATCCATCAAGGTCCTTCAACATTATTTAAAATCTGCTTCTCCAAACAGGCTCAACATTTGTTCATTTGCTACTTTTAGCTTTTATACAGCTGCTTTTATTTTAACTTGCCTAGCCATTCATTATTATAGCTTTTCAGTTCTTTTTTTAATATAATTTAGCTTTTTAGCGATATGTTTTATAATTTATGCTATCCCTTTGCAAATTTTAGCTTTTAACCTGACTATATATATATTTGTAGCTAGGCTTTTGATACATTTAACTAGCCTTTTGCTGCTTTTAGCTAATATTTTTGGTACTTTTACCTTTTGGGTTAGTCTTTTGCTTCTACTTGAGTTTCTAACAAAACTTTTTTTTTTTTGCTAACCCTTTGCATTTTTGGTACCTGTTTTTCATTCATTCAACTTGTATTTATTCAGGTTAATCGTACTGAGCCTCGGGGATTCATTTACTACTGTTTGCCACAACTTTTTTTGCTGTTTTGGATTTTATCTGCTCTTTAGCAACATTAGATTGAATTTACCTTTTTGCATAGCCTTTATACTTCATCTTTTAGGTACCATTTTATGCATTGTAGTTAGCTTTTTGCTACTTTTAGCTTCTGATATTTTAATATTTTTAGCTAATCCTTTGCTACATTTAGCTAGGTTTTTTTTAGCATTTATTCTCTCCATTTGTTTATGTTTATTTTTGTTAGCCGGTGCTTTGCTACTTTTGCCTAAGGGTTTGGTACTTTTTGCCTTTGGGCTAGCCTTTTCAACTTTAAGCTCCTAACCACCCTTTTTATATGTTTAGCTAACCCATTGCTATGTAAAGATTTTATCTAAATATTCAACATTTTTTATTTTAACTACCTGTTTTCTATGTTAGCATTTACCTAGTCTTTCGCTACTTCAAGTTTTAGCTCTTAGCATTTTAGCAAATTTTAGCTTCTGTTATTTTGATTCTTTTAGAAAATCCTTTGTTGACAAACCTTTTGCTGCTTTTAGCTAATGTGTTGAGACTTGTTTTTGCTCATCTTAACTTTTAGCTAGTGTCTTTGCTAGTATTGAGCTTCTTTTAGCATTTAGCTTGGGTTCTGCTGTGTCTTAGCTTTAACAATTTGGGTTCAGTTTCTTCAGCAAAGTCATTTAATCTTAATGTGTTTTTTTTTCTTATTCAGAAATTAAAAACACATTTTTGGGATGTAAATCTGATTGATTTATTTTTTGTTACAATGATGATTCACCGATCCCAGAGACTGAACCAGTCAAACTCCTGGTGGAACACGATTTGGTTTTTTTATAATGTTCTGCAAAATCACAAGAATCTAAAGTATCGTAGTTCAGTTGAGTTTTTACAATGAAAAAAATGCTGAAAATCAAGTAAATTATCAGAGTTTTTACACTTTCAGGTCATAAATTGTGTCAAAGTAACAAACTCTTACCTGTTTTTTGTATATTTTTATTTTACACACATATTTAACATTCATGTTGTACATACTCAACAGTAAACAACAGATCATTTCTGTCCTTCAAGGTCACCACTCCTCATCAGACATCTTTTTAGGCTGTGGTGTCCGCCAGGGATGTGTTCTGAGCCCTCTTGTTTTGTTTGTAAATAAAACTGAGCTCAATCTTCAGTCAGTATAAAATAATTTATCTTTCCAATGGAACAAACGCTCGGTGCCCCAAACCCTGATCTGAAATGAAATCACAGACTGTACAGCTGAGTTTTATTTTGAAGAATAACGTTAACGAAAATAAACGCAAAAAGGTTCAAATAAATTACTGAAGCAGTCACAGCTGACTGAAAGGGAACTCTGGTTTTATAAATAAGATTTCTGTTCTCTAAAGTTCATCTTTTTCCTCTCCTTGGCAGTAGCAGGCGGCTCTTTGGCTGTTCATGTAGGGTCTGCAGCCGAGGGTCCACACCGTGTTGAACAGGGTGTCGGCTACAGTTTCACATGCTGGGGACAAAAGAGGCCGAAGGTTAGAGCAGAAAGACTCATGAACATGCTCAGGACATAAAGGAATAATCTGGTCCTTGCTGAGGCTTTCAGCGAGGTTCAGATTAACTCAAAGAGGCAGATTATTACATCGAGTTGAACTGAATTTAAAGGCTGGTTCCAGCCCCTGATCCGCTCTCCCTGTATTGCTTTTTTGTAGACCTTCAGTCTCTTGCATGGTTGTGGAGGAATTCTGGACCATTTAGTTGCAGCACCTTGGTTCTGTTCAGACACTTTCTGTTGTAGATCAGCTGCTGTGTTTGGGATTATGGTCCTGTTGGACCCAGTTTGGTCCCAGCTTCAACTGTTGGACTCCAGAACGGTTTGGTCTACAGAGGAGTTCATAGTCCACTGAGTGGTTGACAGGAGCCCAAATCATCAGTCCTCCACCACCATGCTGACAGCTGGGAGGAGCTGTCTGCTACAGTTAATTCTAGGTAAACATCTGTCCTTTGGTCTGGTTCTGGTCTAGAAGTCTTGTGGTTCCTCAGATGGAACTTTGCAAATCTGAGGGTTGCTTTGTTCACGAGAATCAAGAAATTCATTTTTCAGAACTGGAAAGAAAGAAGGACGTTGTTTCTGCAGCTTGTTCTTGACACGTGCGCTCAAACATTTTCCTTTTGTGGTTTCTGACAACTTTTACGGGACTCATCAGAAGTACAGTAGTCCCTCGCTACTTGGCGGTTTTGCGGACTCACTCTTTGCGGTTTTTCCATATTAGATTGGACATGACGCACAATTGGCTGATTGATGGATGAGCTGCACGAGCGGCATGGATTATTTTCTATTACATTATTTTGAATGATTTGGCACCTGCTGCACCTGTGTGCAGCCCACAGGTGCAAGGAGAAGCTCCCTCCTGCAGCGTGTCATGATCTCTGCTCTGCCACCTGCCAGCAATTGCTGTGGAGAAGTGGGCGTGGCCAAGCGCTATAGGTGGCAGAGAGCGGAGATCATGACATGCTGTGCTCTTTTAGAGCATTTAGAGTTTAGAAACATTATTTAGAATATTGCAAGAGTGGGAAAGGGTTTAAAATGCCTTAATATATATTTAAATACTAAAATAAACTACTACTTATTACTTGTACCAATATTCCTACTTTGCGGTTTTTCCACTTATCGTGGGGGGCTGGGAATGGAACCCCTGTGATAAATGAGGGACTACTGTAGGCAAAAAGCACAAATGTTACTTTTATGAGAACTTCTCAGGAGTTCTGCACTTAAGGCTTTTGAAAAGTTCTTACTAGAACCAAGTTGGTTTTTGTTCTCGTCACTTCCGTTAAACGGCATCGGTTCCTACGTAGCATTCAATAAGCTAAAGTCGTGCTTAGTCGAGGTTAAAGTGAAGTTACTGACCTTCGACCTTTGACACGAAGCCGAGGCTCTTCTTCAGGTCGGAGCAGATGCTGTGGAGGCACCAGCGGAACTTGGAGTCGCAGCGATATTTGTTGGAGCCGCAGGTGTCGTAACACATGTCCAGCTGGTTGCAACACTTGGTCATAGCAGGAATGCCCACGTCCATCTGACGCACAGAAAACAAAATAAAATCCAGTTTGAACCGGAAATTAAGTTACTGGTGTTATAAAACTTCACATGTCAGCTGTTCAGTATCCAGTGAAGTGTTTTTTTCATTCATTCATTCATTCATTCAACCTTTATTTAGACAGGTAAGTCCCATTGAGCCCCGAGGACTCTGTTACAAGAGAGACCTGGTTTCAACAAAGAATGATGACAACAATAGAAAATTATGAAAAGGCATACAAATTATTATTATTATTACAAATAAGATGGCAAAAAAAAGTAACAAAAGCAGCTAGATTCTAAGGCGAATGTAGAAAATTAAAAAACAGGAACATGTCTGCATTGCTCCTTGCCAGATTCTTAAAGCCACTTAGTATAAGTTAACTTTGGTTTTATTTATTAGCAGCAGGAGCTCATTGTTTTACATCAACCTTTGAAACGTTTTCCCACCTTCAGCCGACAAACCTACACATTCAGACGTACAAACTTGACTTTTTAAAACTAAACACAATGGCATATTCAACGTGTACATTATTTTTGGGATTAGTTGCTCAGTAGAGCAGGAACTGTTCTAATTTTAACCAACTTTGGCAACAAATTTGACGTTTATTAGCTTGAAGTGGAGAATATCTAGTGTCGGTTTTAAAACGTTCTTCTGTTGTCACGATGGAGCAGCGGTAAGAGCTGTTGTCTCTCAGTGAGAAGGTTGCCGGATTCAATCCTGGCCAGGGGGCCATTCTGGGTTGAGTTTGCGTGTTTTCTCCGGGTGCTCCGGTTTCCTCCCATAGACCAATAACATGCATGTTAGACTGACTGGTAACTCTGAATTGTCCCGAGGTGAGTGTGGTACCTGATAACGATGCACAACACATTCTGAATTAAAAGCTAAAAATTCAAGCTGGCCACCAAAGATAATGTCAAATGGATAACAGCTGTTTTTAGAGCTATTCAGCTGAAATTTAGTGTATCAGTAGCTGAGAACAATAAATACTGAATTCAAATAAAAATCCATGATGGCCACCAAAGCTAAATCTAAATGGCTTAACTCGGCTATTTTTACACATATAGAGCTGAAATTTGGTGAGGTTATAACCGAGCGTTCCTTATCGCATACTGAATCCAAATCAAACATCCAAGATGGCTACCATAGCTTAAAAGAAAAAGACTACAACTGATTTTTTTTTGTTTGTTGCCATATTGAGCTGAAATTTGATGTGATTGTAGCTGAGAGCAATGTGGAGTCCCCGTCAAAAGTTTCTCCACGAACTTTCTAGTTTGTCTCTGGACTTGAGACCTGTCCAGGGTGTCCCCCGCCTCACTGCTGGAGCTGGACACCAGCTCACTGTGACCCAGAAAGAAAATAAAGCAAGAAAATGGATGGATGGATAAAGTTACCCCGTCTGGAACAGGAAGCCCAAAGAAGTAGGAGCTGCAGCCGTCGGGCTCGGGCGCCTTGTACCCAGCACGAGGAAGAGGAGCTTTACCTGCAACAAACGAATCAAATGTAGCTCTTAGTTTACACCGGGACATTTTTACAAAGAGAAACAAAAATTCCACATCTAACAAAAGTTGAGTCTGGTCCTCTGGACGGATTCTAAAAAAAATAAACTCGTCGAACCGTTTCATCTTAAAGACTTCAAACTGACGAAGTCTTTTGGATTAAAGCCGAAACATTTCAACAAGTTTTTATTTAGCTGAATCTGTCCAGAGGACCTGACTTTCTTAGATTTTTCTGCCTGGCTTATTGAGCATGCATGAGGATCGACAAACACCACATGATTTATGACACGCTCACCAATCACGCTGTCTTATCACTCCGAGACCACAGTTCATTTCCTCGCCACGATAAGGATAAGAGGAACAAAAACAATAAAATCAAAGTAAATCCACCGTTTTGTGAGGTGAGAGAATGCTTTCTGTGCTGCGATTCGGTGTCCAATATCAACTGGGTGGAGACTTTTAAACCATTATGAATAATCTTTTATTTATCTTATTGTGGGAAAAGCTCAGCAGGTCGGATGAAGATGATCTTGGCAGGGGCGCCTCCAGAAATTTTGTAACGGGGGGGCCACTGAAAACGGGTGGCAACAAAACCAAACACTTGAGCACAAATTTAAAAGATCTGTTGTGTCGTTATTAGTTATTTGATAAATACAGGAGTTATGAAATTATATACTTTAGTTTTTATTGTTTACAGTTTATGTTCCTTATTGAGAAAAACACTCAATACTTAATGTGTTGACGCTTGTCCTTTATTAAATTTATATAAATGTTCCACATATCCCGAGGTCTGCATTCTAATGTTCAGGGCAGACCAATTGTCCTTGTCCAAGAGAACTAGATTTTAGGTTTTATTTTTAATTTAAATAAAATATATATTAATGTTTAAACTCACAATTGCTCAAAAACAACATTTTCATGTTTATGATGTTCTACTAATACAAAATGGCTAAAAGAAATTAAAAATTTACACCAAGCAAACACAAGAGTTTAAAACTGTCTTGCCATGTGAGGCCACAAATTATTTAGTGGTGGGTGGCCCCCAGTGGACCCCCCTTTGATGGTGCCTCTGGATTTTGGAACTTTTGCCTTGATTTGAGGAGTGCTGAGGAATAAACTCTGTATTTTTAGCAGGATTTTTATTCTGAATTGGGTTCAAAGTGTCATCTGAACTTTCAGTCTGAGGAACATTTTTAATAAAATTGTTTGAGGACGTGTTGGCCCCCCCAAGACTCACCAAACCTGCAGCGGTACTGGCACACACCGTCTCGTCCCCCCATAAACTCCAGCATGGAGTCGAAGTACCCGCTGACCGCCTCGAAGCTTCCCCTCAGGGAGTTCATCCCCCATTCCTGGTCCTCCTCATCCTCGCTCGCCTGGGTGCCGTTGGAGGCTTCGCCCAGCGGGGGTGATGGGGGGGTTTCTGGGCCTCCGGCCTCCTGAGCGACGGCTCCGAGGACAAACAGCCCCAGCAGGAGAGGAACTAGAAGGGCCCGACGGGTCATCCTGAGGCTCTGACGGCTCGGTTTGGACTCGGTTCAGTCTTTAAAGAGGCGATTCTGAAACTGACGGCGTGACATGAACTTTGAGCCCGGCTCGGGGCCGGCTTCACATGTGGAGGAACAAAGTCCGGCTTCTATCTCACTTTATTTTTTACACGTCTGAGGTTTATCATTCCTGATTGATGAGTTCACCGTTCAGATCATTTAGTCTCAACTGAGTCAAAAAGCAAAGAAGCAGGAAAAAATAAATAAATAAAACATGACAGGAAGCTGCTTTAGTTTGTAAATGTATGTTTAAACATTTTTGATGTAACGAATAGGAATAAGTGAACGTAACCTGACGTTATGCTGAGAATTAAACTTTAAATCAGATCAAATCTATTGATAACGTATTTATTAGGTAGAGGGCAGGGTGCAAAACAAACGTACCTTTCAGCTAAACTTGCTCAGATTATTTTTCAGAACAAAATATCAACATCTCAAGGAAATTGACATTTTTAAAACGTATTTTATGTTTGAAGCAGCACCTGTTATAAAATATAAAAACCTCAAACCATTAAAATATAAAATCACAAATTTTCCATAAAAAATTTGAAAATAAATTAAAACAATTGTTACATAGAGTATTTAATTGACCTCATTAATTAGTTCAGGGGTTCTTTAAGCTTTTTTACAGATGCTGAAGCTGCATTATTTTATATTTAAGACGTAAACATTTCTCATCCAGCTGCAGGTTTTTTAAGTTTATCAGAGTTTATTTTAAATCTTGAAATTATTTGACATGAAATACTTTCTTGTAAATTCATCCTGTTTTTATTTTATAGAACCGCTCGACCCAGAGCGGTAAAAAGAACGTTTCTAAGACCAAAGAATATGTCTCGATGTCCAGAGTCAAAGTTCGGCGTCTGCGACGACGACGAGATCATGAACGTTTGACCTGAGTGGAAGGCGCGTTTAAAAAAATCCTTTAGGCCACAAAAAGTTCACATTAACATGTAGAACATGTCAACATGCATTTTAACATGCAGAACTTTTAAGGTGAAGTTTGGAGGAAATAACATTTTTAAGTATTTATCAAATAACACATTTCAAATGTGATGGAAGTGTCATGGTTTGGGGTGCAGAAGACCTTAAAACGTCTTGTTGATAAAATAATCGTACAAATAAGTCATTAGTTGAGAGTGGTCACGTCTAAAATGGATGAAAAAAATTGCAAGAGCTCAGCTATTTTTGTTTTTATACTTATTTTTGTTGAACTGATAATATGCTGTTTGTAATAAAAATACAATATCTTGAGTATTGTAAAAGACGAACTATATTATTATTTTTCTGTTTAGTTACTCTCTCTCTTTATATATATATATATATAT